GGACAGAGGAACCTGGCGGGCTGCAGTCATGGGGTCGCAGAGTCAGACATGACTGAGGCGACTTAGCACATGTAATCAATATTAAAAATTGTGGTATTTGGCATTATTTCATTTTATATCTCTCATCTATTGTGACCTCAGTTCAGACTAAAGCATATTTCAACTACTCAACTGCCACATGTGACTGGTAACTAACATGCAGTTAGTTATTTACATGAAAGGTTAGGGAAAGGGGGGAAATGTTCTTTGTCCCCAGCCCATCTTGCTACTAATTATCTATTATCTATCTATCTACCTATATGAAATATGTATTTTTTTCAGTTGGCAAAGTCCTTTCACATTTGCTATTCATTATTTCATTTAATAGGAACATGCCTCACCTTAAGGATGGATTAGGTTTTAAGAGGTGGGGAAGATTCCCATCAACAAGAAACAAATGAGCAGAAGCAACAAGGAGGGAAAAGATCCATTAGGAAATTAATCATGGAGATAAACCTAAGAAGATATAGTAGGAAGCCCTCAATGCCAGACCAGGGAAGCTGAGGTGTTCATTGTCAGCTGGTGGGAAGAAACCCAAGGGGTGTGCAGGAAAGAAGCAAAACTGGATTAAGCAAGTGGCTAAACATAGCATGAAATGGAGTGGGAAAGGCTAGAGGTAGTTGATTAGGTAATTACAGCATTAAATCTGAGGAAGAAACAATCTAGATAGAGGGATGAAGGGGACAGAGCCATTTGTCTGTACCCAGGAGATCCTAATATTAGTTCCCTTCCACCTTTCGTGATTGGGGAGATTTTTAGGGACCTTTTAGATGGCTCTCTCTCTCTCTCTCTCTCCCTCCCATTTCTACCAACAAATACCTGAGTACCTACTACCTGTCAGGGACTATGACAGACTTTGAGGATGTAAGAAGGAACGAGGCAGGTACGATTCTGGACCTCTTACATTGTATGTTTTCCAGAAAGAAACAAGCCAGTTATGACATAAAATATTTTCACATTGTGGTAAGTACTATGAAGAAAATAATCATGGAGATGACAGGCCTGGAGAAGGAATTCAGAAGTGGTGACACTTAAGCCCTAAGACCTAAAAGATGAAAGGAGCTGGATGTGCAAGAAGTCAGGGTAAGAGTGCCTCAGGTAGAAGGAAAAGCACTGCAGTCTTGCAGGCAGGAAAGAACTTGGGTGCTTGAGACTAAATGAACAATGCTGCTAGAGCAAGATTTCGGTGGGATTGTGGCAGGAGGTGTAGTGAAGGGGGAATCAAATGGGCAGGTCATGAAGGGCCTGTAGATGTTGACAAGGAACTGGATCTTAGGACCAACAGGAAATCACTAAATTATATGTCTAAAAGGTTGCAGGAAATTACTTCCTCTTTAATTTCACTCTTGCTGCAGTGTGAAAAACTCTTTAAGGCTGGTCTTGCTGCAGTGTGAAAACTGCTTAACGCTAGTAAGAGTGGAAGCTGGGATTTCAGGTAGAAGATAACTAGATAAGATCAGGTAAGAGATGATGATGGCATGGCTTGTGTTAAGAAAGGTCCTTGGGAAAATTAATGACCCCATGTCAGTATTTGTGCAGAAAGAAACCTCTATGATTGCCATGCAAAAATTTCAGATGAAGGATGTTATCTTGTCCTAGTATGCACTTTCCGAGAAGGCAATGGCAACCCACTCCAGTACTCTTGCCTGGAAAATCCCATGGATGGAGGAGCCTGGTAGGCTGCAGTCCATGGGGTCTCGAAGAGTCGGACACGACTGAACAACTTCACTTTCACTTTCATGCATTGGAAAAGGAAATGGCAACCCACTCCAGTGTTCTTGCCTGGAGAATCCCAGGGATGGGGGAGCCTGGTGGGCTGCCGCCTATGGGGTCGCACAGAGTCGGACACGACTGAAGTGACTTAGCAGCAGCAGTATGCACTTCTGGGGGGGAAACTGCTGTTGAAGAAGTCAACATGAAAATAAATATTTGTTTATTCTAGATATTGGAACATACAATCTTAGCACACATTGTTAAATGCAAAATATTATTTCCAAAATGTAATTTTCAATCTCATTTTAGTTAAGGTGATTAGGAAGTTTCTGAGGATACAACACACATGGTTTGACAACTGGAGGAAAAAAAAAAGTCCACGCAGAAAGGACAGCCAAGGACAAAAGCAAAGGGACAACAATGAGATTGCCTTGGTAAAGGACCAGAAAGTAGCCCGGTGGCTGGAGGAGTAAGTAGCCATCAGCACAAGGTATGTGGTCCATTTTTAATCAATGACTAGGAGATGGCTTCTCAGTCACCTGTCACCTCCACAGTGCTGGCATTATCACACAATGAGGGTGTGCTCAGCCTCAGTCGCTTCTATCCACAGGATTTCCCAAGCAAGAATACTGAAGTGGGATGCCATTTCCTTCTCCAGGGGACCTTCCCCAGCCAGGGATGGAACCCGCATTTTCTGCGGCGGCAGGCGTGAGCCACCAGGGAAGTCCCATATCACGCAGTAGCCAGGAAAAAAAAAAAAAACCGAGTAAGGTAGAGCTAAATCGCGCTACAGTATTTTTCAGCTATCTCACAAGAGCTGATAAAAACTCCATCCACTTCCAGCGAACCAAGAGTAGAAACACTAGTTCTAGAGAGAATTAGTGCATCGTCTAGACAGTGCCTGTGTATTCCCGACGGCTTCACGATAAGGCTCTTTTCGGTTTCATCACCGTCTCCTCCCTTAAGGGCCCTACCGGCACACCCTCAAAGATCCACAATTTTGGAAAATTCTCAGGAACCTCCTCCTGCGAGAGGTTCTTCAAGCCACTCCATACGTAGCCTTGGGCCCTCCAAACTAGAAAGCAGCGCCCCTTCTCCAGACGGAGCAAACCAGCTCTCATAGAGAAAGCGGTTGTTCACAGACTAAATCCGCAACGTCACTTCCAACCCCCGGCCCCAGCCGCCGCTTTACGCCGGAAGTCGCCGGCGTGACGTGGACAAAACGCCCGTCGGGGACGTGTCCCAGTAGAGCCAATGGGCTCTGTCCACCTCCCTTCTCTGTCACCGTTTTGTCTATTCACGGCCTGTGACGTCAGAGGGAGGCGCGGAGGGAGATACGGAATCCAAGAGGGGCCAGGCGTCGCCGTCGCTCTGAAGGCAGAGGAGAGGCAAGATGGTTTACATCTCGAATGGTGAGTTGAAGGGGCAACGTGGGCGACCTCCGTCCTGGGATAGCCTGGGAAGCCGGGCCCCGGGTTTCTTCCGACCTCGCCCGCCGGCCCGGCGCCACTTTCCCGGGCACGCCCCCCGGCCAAATGTAGCTGGGGGCGAAGTCGCCCCGGCCTGCAGCTCCTCTGCCGACCGTCCCTGAGCCGGCGGCAGGGGCTGAGGTCCCCTTGGTGACGGCTGTGCCGAGTGTCCGGCGACCTCGCCCTCCTGGAGCTTCTGATTGTGGGTTTTGAAAAGTGGTCTTTCCTTTTCGGTCGTCAGTGTCCTTAAGTGTTAATAGAAAAGACCACAGTGTTTACACCATCTGCGTTGCTTTTTCTTATGCCTCGGACACTTTTAAAAGAGTCGTTCGTGCGTCCACGCATTCAGTCTCTATATCGCTTTATCCGGGTGAAACCGTATTGTTTTGCGGGTGGAGACTTAGCCGCAGCCGGATTAATTAGTTTGCCCAGGATCACAGATGTAGTTATGATGGTTCATTCGGGTTTCTAACGCCGGTAGGCTGACGTCAGCTTCCTTGCTGTTATCTACTACTACGCTGCCTCTTTCCGAAAGAGTGGACTAAAAGCTTTGGGTAGACTTTTCCCCCCCAGGTGAGAGAGCTTGTCACGCAGGTAATTTTCTGCCCTAATTTCAAGGGGCATAGGGAGAAATAGCACTCCCTGTAGGAACAAGTTGATTATTCCTGGAATGGAGAAGCTGAGAGAGACTTAATTCAGTGGTTCCCCAAAGGCAGTGAATGGAAAGGAAAGACACAGTATGACTGGGGAAAATGTCAGAACTGCCTGCCCACTTGTTTGACTCAGGTGACACAAATGTCTTGTTGCCCTCTTAACTCGTTCTTGCATCACTGGAGCCAGATCCTGGTTCCGTTTTGAATCATCTGTTTATTTTAAAAGGCTATGAAGATACTGTAGTCTGAAGTCTTCTGGCTGAGCGCACTTTGCATTTATTTGCTTTTCAAAATCTCTCTTCTCCTCCTTTTCAACTGCTTAAAAATCTCTGAAACAGGTTGCTGAATGCTAAAAATCAAAGTTTAATCTTGGTTTTAGTCATTTGCAGACTTTGTGTTACATCCTTTGTGGTTAAGGCTGGCAGCTTCTATTATTTATTGACTACTTGTATTTGTAGCGTGTCTTGTGTATGCCTTACTGTTTTTCACCTACATAAAAAAAGTCTTATTAGGACCTCTAATCTCACTTGTATAGTTGAGAAATGCCAGTTGCATTCAAGCCACTTATTTCTATCCGAGGATATTGGGAGGAGAAGTTTCTGCCTTCAGAAACTGGGAGAAAAAGCACAAAAAGCTGAATGGTACAAATGCATTCAATAGGCTCTTTAGAACTGCAAAAAGAAATTGACCAGTTCTAGTTAGATCTGTTTTCTTAGAAGGACTGTATCGGTGTTTCATAGGTGACAAAAATTTTCTCTTACTGTCAAATGACTTTTTCTTTTTCCAACAATTCTGTATGATGACTAGTCTTGGAATGCTTTTTCTTTTCTTTTTTTTTTACAAACTTTTAAACAATTTATTAGTTTTATTTTCTAGTAAAATATTCACATAATGTCAAAAGAATGGAATGACAGAGATGTAGCCAACTACCTTTAATTCCACATAAATATTTAAAATCTAAAAACTTCAGGAATCATCAGACTAAGTAGAAATTTGACTCTTCAGAGCAAGTATTGCTTTACTATTGTCATTAACCCAGTCAATAATATGACCGATAACCAGCCGTGGGAAACAGCATGCCTGCCGAGTTGTTCTTTTAAAGATGTTTCACAGAGCCCTTGTCAAGTCAGTGCAGGAAGAATATCTTATTGAATTGCGTTGCACAAAGCTTCTTGACCTCTTCATTGACTTCAATCAGGTTTGCATTTTTTTGATTCAAAATAACATACAGCTTCCTCCGGTCAGACTTCTTCCCAACAGCCCAGTAATCACTCATGGCTTTCACCATGATTTCTTCATCCTCGTCCACTCTTGTGAAATCACTATTGATGTCACCCAGAATCTTCATTAGATCCGGATGGACAGATGTGAGTGACACGCTGGGTGTCTTCCTCATGTGAATTGTACTTTCTTCTGCTAAATTCATGTGGTTGAAGTAGATAAACTTAAACTGGGGTTCTTTTTCAGACCCAGATATTCTCTTGTTGATGTTAAATTGCTCACAGATGTCAGATGCCAGCACTGTGAGCTGGGGCCCCACAACACTGTCCAGTCTTCGGCAGAAATCCAGTGTGGGCTGAATGGAGGCATCAATCATAAAGCACACAGCTGCACTCATCGCCTTATAGACAATCAAGTGCAGCGCTTCATAAGTGTCGTCTGTATTTACAAAAATTTGGGGGAATCTGCATGTTGCTTCTGGATCATTAAGGTTCAAGGGGCCAGTGAGAAATCTTCCATAGTGTTGGAGGTTTCCTGGCATTTCTGCCCTTATTGGAGAATCCCTTCCCGCCAACTCAGGTTCGATATGCCTTGGAAACAGAAATGTGGTGAGGTATTTGTATAAAATTCTCATGTCGTCTTGTTCTAATCCACTGCAGATGAGTTGATAATTATAGAGAAAGGCAGTGTACTTGACTATACTCAGGCTTTCTTCCACTCTGTTAATAAAGGACTGGGTTTTCAAATAAGTTATTTTATCCAATGGGAAGAAGCTGATCCCACCAAATAATGTCGAGTAGATCACAGGACTGCAAATGTAACGTTTGCAAATATCGACGGGAGAATTTCTCTAGTCTTTCTTTTAGGAGCTTGGCACCTCCATCTTCCATGGCTCTCAGAAATGGACTGTTAAAAAGCTTGTACATGCTGTAGCACTGCTGGAGCACCGAACTGTAAACCTTGTCCAGCAACTCCTCCTCTAGGCATTCAACAACTGGTTTTCCCTCTTTACTTTGCTTTTCAATGATAGGATTCCGAACAACCATGACCATCCAGAAATTTTCTTCTGGTTCGTTGAAGAACTGTCTGTTCTTCTGTGTATATAAAGATTTTGCAGGTTTTGATGGACTAAAGGTCCTTGCAAACTGTACAGTAGCTTCACATAATCCAACGTTTCTAATCTTTTCATTCTTTTCTACTTCGTTTGGATAATAAAACAAAATTTTATTTTCCTCCTCTCCCTCGCGCGGCCTGAAGCGCGGGTTGGAGATGAAGAAGCTCAGCAGCACCGGCGGGAACTGCTTCTCTTGGGCCACTCCTGCTCCAGCCCCGGCCGCCGCTGCCGCCATCCCGGCCCGGCCCGCCAGCCTCGGGGAAATGCTTTTCTTAGAGAAGAAAATGTCTCAATGATGCAGAGCTAGTAAGAGGCAGAACCAAGCCAGTCACTCACACTCTGTTGTTGTTTAGTTGCTCAGTCATGTCACCATCAGACTCTTTTCAGCCCCATGGACTGTAGCCCACCAGGCTCCTCTGTCCATGGCATTTGCCAGGCAAGAATACGAGAGTGGGTAGCCATATCCTTCTCCAGGGGATCCTCCCAACCCCAGGATCTTCCGGAGCCAGGGGTCAAACCCATGTCTCCTGCATTGCAGGTGGATTCTTTACCACTGAGCCACCTGGGGAGCCCTCACATGCTGTAGTAGCCCCCGTTTCTCAATAGCTCTATAAGAGCTCAGATCCAGGTGGATACTGAAAGTAAGCTGGTCTGTGAAAGAGGAAAAGCTGTGGCTGGGGGGTGGCAGTGAGTGTGGTGAAGCCCTTGGGAAAATGGAGAGAACAGGTAGTTGACAGGTGGCTCTTCTCTCAAAATATTCTGACCTGTTCATTTACAAGACTGAAACTCTATAGAGTATTCACTTTTCCTGATATAGCTTCTATTATTTAAAGTGGTTTGAAAAATAGATGCATTTTTTCTGTAAGATAAAACTGAAGTCTGTAATTAGTATCAACAGCATTCGGTTAAAGAAATAGCCATAAGCCAAATTCTCTTTAGTACTTAGAGCACATGAATTTTTTGACTTACAGGAATTTTAACATAACAACTGTTACAGGGTTATGAAGATTTTAAGAGTATGTATAAACAGTCTTTTTATCTAGGCAAGAGACTTTGCGAGTGAAAGAGATACTCCAAACACATTTAGGAAATGGAGGTGGTGTGAACCCTTTATACTCATTCATCTGTTTCCTCAAAATGCTTGATTAAACAGATATTTGTACACCCATGTTCTTAGCAGCATGTTCACAGTAGCCAAAACGTAGAAGCAACCCAAATGCCCATCAATAGATGAATGGATAAACAAAATGTAGTATATGCATACAGTGGAATATTCATCAGCCTAAAAAAGGAAGGATATTTTGACATATGCTACAATATGGATGAATCCTAAAGATACTGTACTAAGTGAGATAGCCAGTTGTTAAAGTACAAATAGGGTATGACTCCTTGTACAGATTTCCTGGAGCAGTCAAGTTCATAGAGATGCAAAGTAGAATGGTGGTTTTCAGGGTCTGGGGAGCGGGAGAAATGGGGAGTTAGTGTTTAAGGGGTGTGGAGTTGTAATTGGGGAAGACGAAAAAGTTCTGGAAGTGACTGATGATGATGGTTGTATGGTAATGTACTTAATGCCATGGAATTGTACACTTAAAATGATTAAAATGATAAAATTTTTTGTGTATATTTTTACCTCATTAAAAAAGAAAAAAAAGAAAAATTCTTGAAATGTCACCCACCAAAACTTACAAACTATATAGGAGGCATTATTTGACATATGAAAGAAATGACCTCTAGATCACAGAGCTTCACTTCCCGGAACCTTTGCTTAGGACCATATACACATAACAGATTTCTTGCATAGACTGTTTGGAACAGCGAACATATTGAAAATTGAGCTTATGATTGTTACCCGACTGATTAAGTGTAATGTGTCTTGTGTCAGGGATTTGTAGCACTAACTGAAGTTTCTTCATTCTTATCTGCAGGACAAGTGTTGGACAGCAGGAGTCAGTCCCCATGGAGATTATCTTTCATAACAGATTTTTTCTGGGGAATAGCTGAGTTCGTGGTTTTGTTGTAAGTATAGTAGTGCTGTTAGTAGCCCTCATATTTCAGTTTACAAAGGTACATTAGAGACATTATGTCGGTATCTTAAACAAGCTCAGCTTTCTTGAAGCAGTTTTCAGTTGTGATTTTTATTAGTAGCTTTTCTAAGGGAGATGAAGACCTGTATACTGGTAAAACTCCCCTCAAGCACCTTGTATGATTACAGATATCTTCTTGAGTTAGTAAGGTTGACCATGACTTGGCCCTCCTGGTAACCATTTCAACCTGCATCTATGGGGCCAGACCAACTCTTTGTACTGCCCAGTGACATACCTCACTTTCTGTTATTTCCGCCTTTCATGTGTACATGCAACTTTTATTGCACAGTATATAATGAGTAAACAAGGGGAATTAGATCTTGAATTTTAGAAGCTCCCAAGCCATAAACTTTTTTTCTTAAATGAAGGATTAGCATCGATACACAGGATACACATAATTCACCATAATTTCAAGCAATTCTTAGTTAAATTCTTTTTTTTTTTTGGTCTTTCATATTCTGTTTTATGAAAATTGTTCATCAACTACTAACAAGTCTTACTCATCCAAAGTTTAAATATACATTTGAGTGCCTCGTGGGCCAAGAACTGCAGAGATGCAGAGATGTGGGAGATAGTTCCTTCGTTGACTTTAATGTCAGTAAATATCTTCATTTTAAAAAGGGCCTTGGGGAGGGCATGATGGTGGGAGGTGGACATCAGAGGTTATTCCAGGTGGGAGAGACACAGAAAAGATGGCAGAGAAGTTTGAAAATCAGCTTATGATGTTTATACTTAATTTGATGGTAGCTCTGGTATATAAAGTTTAATCTGATGGCTGCATGTAGCATAAATTAAAAGGGGAAAATGGAAGAGACTACCATAGAGAAATACAACAGGGGATAGAGAAGCCTAAGTTATGTTACTCACTGCAAAACTTCTTTGCAATCTCTTACAAATTTCACCTCCATATTGTTTATTTAATTAATTTAGTTAAATTTTAATTTAATTTAGTTAAATCCTTTCCCCTTTACAAATAAAGAACATTCCATTTAAATGAATTCCCAGAAAGCCCTGTGCCTCTGGCATACCACCTCAATCCCTCCTTCCCTAGGGTAACATTAGGTAAGTTTTTGGCACAGGAAGTAGGATGCAATACTATAAAAGCAGTTTCTGGGGCCTGACAACCAAGACAGGGCAGAGGAAGAAAGTTGGAGTTGACTCTGGTTTCAGAGTCATTCTGTCTAGAATTGTTCATTCACTCTGTCTAGAAGAGTTATCACAAATAAGAAAGACAAGGGATGGTAGCTTTGGCACAGAACACAGCATACTATGTTGAAACCTGTGTTTGTGATAGATGGTGTTGTCCAGCTGGCCTCACGAAATGGGGCTTTGGAGCTAAGTTAGTTTAGTCTTCCTCCCATAGAGATGATAGTTGAAGCCATGGAAATTTTACAGTGTTGAAAGTGGATCTTCTGTTGTTTTCTGCCCCTTTCAGTTTCAGAACTCTGCTTCAACAAGATGTGAAAAAGAGAAGAGGCTACGGAAGCTCATCTGATTCCAGATATGATGATGGAAGAGGGTATAACTTTTTAAATTAATAAAAGATGTTTTTATCCCTCTGTGTAATTTGTTAAATTAAAAATAAGCAGACAGACATAGGCTCATTTAAAGGCTTAAATTCTATTTTACAAAATTAACGCATTACTCTAAATCAAGCAAGTTGCCTCTGATCTGATAATCTGACAAAGCTAAATACATCAAATATCCTATGGGAAAAGTCTAAATTAGAGAATGAAAAGTGATGGTCAACATTAAAATCTAGAGATTTCACCTTAGAGTCTGTAGATTTTCAATTGCTAATGGAAATCTCAAGATCCAGCAGCACTGGGTGAAGCTTGTGTTTCCATATGGCTAAAATAACCTGGAATTGGGTTTCAGGTAGGCATTTATAGATGTTGTTCAGTTTATCGTAATTCTTGCTTGACTCACTTTTCCTCATTTATGTAATGTGTCTGGTCTCTTGCAGTATTTGAATTTTCAACTCAGATCTAAATGGTAGTTCCTATGTTAAATTAAGAAAAGGATCTATTTGAGTGTTTGAAAAGAACCTACTAAACAGTAGAAATTAACTTTTCTTATCTTAGGCCACCAGGAAACCCCCCCAGAAGAAGAATGGGTCGAATTAATCATCTGCAGGGCCCTAATCCTCCTCCAATGGCCGGTGGATGAGGAAGGTAACTTACAGTCTGTAGTTCTCCAGAGATTTCATTTTGAAAATGCCTCCTTAGGATGGCTTTCTTTAGGAAAATAGAAGTCATAGCATTTTATACTCAGATGTCTTATTTGGAAAAATATTTATATATTAACCCTTGAAAACTTATGTTTTGAATCAAGATGTCTTTTGAAGAAGGTTTTACAACATGCAGTGACTGAGTTTTTCATACAGATCCGAATTACCAATTAGTAACTATTATAATGTTTTCTTTTAGGTAAATGTCTGCTCTAGGAAGCAGACAACTGGACGTGCACATTAATAGAAGGAAACCATCAAGAAATGGAGTGCTGATCATGCCGGACAAGTTAGATGAATGTGTACGTCTAAACAAGGATTGTTCTGTGTCGTCACAGATGAATGAGGTCATGCTGGGAATTCCCTCCGCAGGGATCTGGCATGACTGACACGCAGTTCTATAAATGCACGTTTGTCTCATCTTTTTTGTATCGTCTGTGAAAGTGTTAATATAGTTTTAATAAGTAAATATTTTTAGGTTACAAAGCTGACTTCTCAACTTCTCATCTTTATATAATTAAAACTCAAAAAGCTGCAAAGTTGAAGGAAAATAAAAGACTGTGTATTGAATACTATTAGTGTCACCTTTTTCAACTTATGAAATATTGTTCATTGTTGGGTTTTTTGTTTTCATTTATAAATAAATCACTGTGCTTATTTCAATAGTATGCATATGATATCTATGCTCTTGAATTAATTTTTAATTTTAAAACCTATCTGTCCCATGGATCTTTAATACAGTATGTCTTATTTGCTACCAAATATAATTAGCAGGGTACTTATAAAGCCATAACCAACAGACCTGAGCTACAGAATATACATTTGATAAATGGTCTTTAAAATTATGGACTTCAGTGCTGTCTGCCAATTTTAGTTCTAAAGATGCTACCTGTTGGCTTTAACCCCATCTGAATGCAGGTA